AGCGATTGCGGTTTTCGCCTGAAGTCGCCTTGCTTGAGGCTACAGGTCGAGCCGATGCTGCTGAAGGTAAAAAACTAATTTCTAAAAAAAGGTTTTAAAACCAGTACCGTTTGTATTTTCTTTTTTCAGTTGAGCGATTATTACGTGAAGGTGCAAATCCAAATTCACATAATGAGGATGGTTTGACGCCTTTGCATCAGTGTGCAATTGACGATAATCAGCAGGTGGGTGGCAACAACATCAATGACTTTATCTGTCTGAAGGCCATTCTCTTTATTTGAACATTTATTCTTTATTTTGTTAGGTATTGATATAGATCAAATTATTGCAGATTATGCTATTACTGTTGAGTCATGGTGCTGATGTTAATGCTCAAGATACCGAGCAATGGACTCCGTTACATGCAGCCGCCTGTTGTGCTCACATCAATGTTGTTAAGATCCTAATAGCGCAGTAAGTATAACTATCAAATAATGATTGATAGCATTTCTTTGTTATGAAAAATCCTAATTCATAAATTTTTTCTTGCAGCGGTGCAAATTTATTGGCGGTCAATGCGGACGGTAATATGCCATATGATATATGTGATGATGAAACCACCCTTGACGCCATAGAAAGTGAAATGGCCGCTCGTGGTATTACACAGGTGGGTGTTCGGTAGATCAAGACATTCAGTCAATAAGTCAGAAGCTGAATGAAATCAATATATTGATTCGAGTGATATAGAAATCGATGCATTGATTAATGTGAACTCTCAGGCTTATATCGATGATCAACGCGGCGCTCCTGAAAAAGCGATGTTAGATGATATGAAAAGTTTACATCAGCAGGGTTATCCGCTTGATGCACGTCAACCAGATGGATCCACTTATGTGAGTTCTATTGCATGATCTGTAATTTTTTATATCTTATTATGCTCATTATCACAATGCTCTACTTGAATCTTCATTTCAGTCAAAAATTTTTTTAACTTTTACATCATCGCCTTTCGAATAAAGCCCTTAGCTTATCTACAGGAGTCTACAGACCAAAAACTGCGCCCA